TTTGTTTTTATTACTGTAGCATTAGCATGCAGTCATACTTTGAGTGAACATGTGCAGCACACAGTTAGAGCCAGCATAGCGAGTGCCTGCAGTAGTGCTTGATAGAGAGCAAAGGCATCCACTGCCATTCTCGTCAGGAAGCCATGGTTCTGGAGTATTTCCATGCATTCTTATACTTTTGTGAAGGTCTCAGGGCAAGTATTTGGAAGGTCTCTACCTGCATTATAATCATGGCAGAGCTAGATAGTACAGGGAAAAACTGATGTTTCAAAAACATCTGAGACAGTCACTCAAGGAATACAGTTAAGGATTTGTTTCCATGCCCTCTTAGGAGAGTTCCTTGTCAAAAGAAGGATGTCAGGGAAATCCTGATCATGTTGATGTGTCCACTAAGAATTAAACAAAAGTGTTTGAAAAACACAAACAAAAAACAAACCTCACCAGCACAAAAAGGCTCATCCTAGAGGCAATACAATATTGTTAATGCCCACGTTATCCTTGCGTTAGATAAACAACAAGACTTTGTACTTAATGATTTTAGCACATTTTTTTGTTAGTTTTCAAAGTGTTTTATGAGATAGTATCATCATCTCCCTTTTCACAGATAAGTAAAATGGGGCATAAAAAAGCAACTTGCCCAGTGTCACACAAATTGGGAATAGAGGACAGGATTGAAAACTTGGCTTCATTGCAGTTGGTAGCAGAGTTAGTGGCTCGATTTTTATAGTGGGTGTGCTGAAAACAGAAACCACATATTTGGTTGTTATTACTATTTCAAATCAGGGGTGCTACTGCACCCCCAGTACCCCTAATTCCAGCACTTCTGGTCAGTGGCAGTTTTTACATGAATTTCAAGGGGCCAGAATTTCATCCTTGATCTTGTCTCCTAGCCTCATGCTCTCTCAACTAGACAGTAGCTACAGGAGTTCAATATCCTGGGCTCTCAATTCAGTACTTCTCAAAAGCAGTGTAACTTTAAAGAAATGTTTTAAACATTCAAGGGAATGTAGAGTACATACTGTAAGAATTGAAGTTTTCAGTGCAGATTTGTCTAGTACAATCATAAACCATCTAATAAGTCTATCATTATAAACTCATGTGATAAAACATCTCAATTTTCCAGGATTGCTTAATTCCAACTGATAGAAAATAACTGCAGCATTAAACTTGGACAACAGTTAGCGGCTACCTTTAAAATGTTTTCTGCAGTCAGTAAAACTTGTGGGACGTTATCCTTATGTGTAGCCTGCAAACAACCACCTTTGTAAATAGGACTACCAGAATTAAAGCTAAAGGTGAGCAGTCACTCTTTATTTCAGTCAGATCTTGGTTACAAATTAACTTTGCTGGCACTAAATGCCCAAGGGCTTAGCACATGTGTTGCTTCAGGAAGTGGATCCTGTTTTTTGGAAACATACCATAGCATTCCTCTGCGTTTTAAAAAGATAATGTTGTATAGATCATTATTTTGAGTTGTGTGTGGAGATTGTGTGTAGAGGGGAAATGAGAAACTACCTGCATAATCTGATATTTTGAAATCATCTGAAATGCTATGGAAATCAGTGTTGTTTAGATGCTTTTTGTAAGACTTGTTTGACATAAAATTAACTGGAAGTTTAGAGAATCTTTTCTCTGTGAGTTGTGTGTCATCTGGCCTTAAAATGTATAGGATTTCCTTTAAGGCCATAAGCAATCTAAGTCACTTTTAAAAATGGAGCTTAGGTGCCTAAGTCATTTAGGCACCTTTGAAAGTTTTACCTATAGTCTTCTAATGATTTAATTGTTTGTTCCAACATCGTCATAAGCTACATGAAGGCTGGAGTTCAGGGGCTCTCATTTACACTGTTGTAAATCAGAAATACCTTATTAATTAGGTTATGAGACAGATAAGGTATGTACACTGTGATAAAAACCCGGCAGCACCGAGTCTCAGAGCCCAAGCTCCAGGCCGAGAACAAACATCTATGCTACAATTTTATTGCTCCACAGGCCGAGTCAGCTGACCTGGGCCAGCTGCAGCCATGCCACAGGTCTTTTACTGCAGTGTAGACACACTCAAAACTCTAACCACAGCTCTGACTGTGTGTAACAGATTTGATGCACAAAAAGAGGAAACCCAAACATAAAAACTGAGTATTCTAGAAGAAACTACACTGAATACTAGGCAGATGGCTCTTTTGAAGTGTCTTTCTGGAAAATCAATTCTGATTATAACAGTATCAACTTTAAGGTTACCTGTAGCAGATCAGTTAGAGTAGAAACAGATAGATGCTGAAGAGGATTTGTACAAGAGGATTTGCTGAAATGTTGTGAGAGTTGCTGTCTTTCCCAATCTGGTTTCAAATGCAGTCTACAGTCTAGACTGTAGACTTACTCCTTTTCTGGAGTTGGTTTTGCTAAACAGAAATTAAAAATAATCCAGCAAAATTCAGATCAAAATTTCTCAGCGGGCATGGCTATTACTACAGTTCTTTCCACAGGGCTCCTCAATCCACATCCAAGAAATTCTGACTTATCCACCACAGCAGGATCAACACCTGCTAACAGGATGGGGCATTTCATGCAAACATTTCAGACTACACTATTACTTGCTGGTATATCTTTGTTTATAACAACAATGCTGAAATTAAAGGGATGGGTCAGGTTGATTAGGTACTTACTGGATATCTGCCCAACTGGAATCTTTCCCAAACAGATGTCTCTCTTCATAACGTACACACTTTGTACATAGACGGCCGGCTGCTGCTCCCATTGAAGACAATAGAGTTTATAGTTTTGATTACTGATTTCAGTGAGAACAAGATGATCCTCACATGTACATATCCACACACTCACACGAAAGGGAGTCAGCCTCTAACTGTGCTTATATATTGCGTACAGAGTAAATGATAGGCTTCTATTATATCTGTCTAGAGCAGTTGTTTTCAACCTTTTTTCATTTGCAGACTCCTAAAAAATTTTGAATGGAGGTGTGGACCCCTTTGGAAATCTTAGGCATAGGCTGCAGAGGCGTTCACAGACCACAGATTGAAAACCACTGGTCTAGAGGGGAATATGCCCTCTCATCACTATAATATCTGACCATCTGATGAAATTATGGAATTAGAGTTCTATCGAGTTCTTGTCATGTACTAAAGCACAAAGACAAGCACAACCCCAGAACATGATAGTGAAAATATGTTTTTTTCTAAATTCATATATTATGGATGCAATAAAGTTTTTAGCCTGTTTGTGCAAAGGTTTGTGGGTATTTATTTTCTTTGATGTGGTGGATACATGTCCTTAAGACTGATTCTCAAATAGCAGCGTACTATATTAGCAGAAGCAGCCATGGCAGAGGCTGAAAGGCAGTCAGCTACTTGCTCTAACTGGTGTATTTTGTAATTCCAAGGAGTTACTCCTGTGCATTGTGAGATTTCTCTGCCTGGCTTTTACTGTGTAAATATTTACAAACTAAATTATATCCATAGGCCCCAATCCTGCAAACACTTAAGCGGGTGTTTAACTTCAATTTTAATCAATGGGAGTAAAGTTAATGACCCATGATAAAGTTAAGTACAAGCTTAAGTGTTTGTAGGATGTTTCTAAGTCACTTAAAGCCTAAAAAAATATTATAGATTGGTTTAGATTTTTAAAAGTTCAATTTTCTCTATACTTTAACAATCAGACAACCGTAAATAAATGTACAACTATGCCATTTCCCATAATGAAAGAGATCAGTTATCATTATACCTACACAACTGTCCATTAAATAAAAGTTATCTGGCACCCATTGACTTTTATCAGAGGGCAAATATAGTTTCTAATTGAAAACACCTTGAGTAGTCCTATTGAACTAAAGGGCAATCTTTGCACTACAAAAATGATCATAGAACCCCAGAATTTTAGGACTAGAATGGCCATTGAGAGGTTATCTAGTCCAATCCCCTGCACTCATGACCGGACTAAGTATTATCTAGACCATCCCTGACAGGTGCTTGTCTAACCTGCTCTTAAAAATCTCCAATGATGGAGATTCCACAACCTCCCTGGGCAATTTATTCCAGTGCTTAACCACCCTGACAGTTAGGAGGTTTTTCCTAATGTCCAATTAGACACATAATTCACCATGAGCCCATTTCCAGCAGCGGTAGCAATAGCTGAAGATGTTGCTAAACAGAGATATAAGGGTTTGCTTATTATTTTAAAACTAGAGCATGGTTAGACAACAGGATGCTAAAGTCATCTGAGTCTTCCACACTACAAATTCCCCAGCTGCTACTACTGGTAGCGAATTGTGCATCCAATTTTAGTCAGAGTAGACACAGTTAATGGAACTACTTACAGTGGTAAATTTCCTCAATTCTCATTTTTGGTGTGTTTCCCTCAGTTTAAAAAGAATTTTTTTCCAGTTCATTTTTGGTAAAGCAGAAAAGAAAAGAAGAAGAAGTTACATATGGCTACACAGAGAAGAAAAACTTAACTATTGTCATCAGGTTGCAAGTAACAGCTACAGAACTGCTCAGTACACTGTGGCAATAACTTAAAAGATTTCCAGAGTGCCTTACATTTCAAGCATATATCAAGTTGTTCCATGCATACCCATATGTCAAGACAGAGTTCTGTTGACTACATTGGGATCACCCTTTGTGGAACAATACTTAAGATCAGGGCCTAAATGTATGATATTTCCTGGCTACAGTGTTGCACCCATTAAACATCTTTCCCTTATAATATTACAGTATGAAATTTGTATTTATTTTTGTTAGCTGTCCCTGGAGATTTGAATACACACCCACTGGTACACTGATTGAAAAAAAAATCTAGATTTAAGTTGAAGGAAATGCTTCAGAGATCAAACAGCATACCATGTTAAAGCAGCTATATTAATAAATATTTAAGACTTCTACATAGTAGATTCAGTCCAAGTGAAAAAGATCTCTAGAAAAACTTAAACCAACAAAATTGCATAGCCAAACACCTTTAGAACTGAGTGAACAAACCAGAGGCCTCCTGTCGCTTTAACATTCAGCTGTATGTTGCATCCACTCCCTGGTTGCTGATAAAGGAATCCTGTAAAACTGAAAGCAGGCAGGTAAAGGCACTTCCTGGAGGCAGAATTAAATAGAGAATGGGAGTTTTCCTCTGATCTCTCTGAAAAACCAATCAGGCAGGGTCAGCCAGGCGTTGATTCTCCTCACGTCCCTCCTACACCTTTTCCAAAGACCCAATGGCTTTGTCTCTTTGGGAGATTGACTTCAGTCACATGGTCCGAATCAAGGGCAGGTAACTTAGGAGAGGAGGAAGAAAAAAAAAAAAAAAAAAAAAAGCCCAAGCCCAGGCTGGGTTCCTGCCATGATGTCAGAGGGAGAGAAACCCACAGCTTGTTAATTTCACCTCCCAATCAGACCCGGGGAGAAGGAGATCATTGGGAACAGGTAGAGCTGTAAGAAGTTTTCTCCATTTTTGTCTCAGCCCCCCTTCCCCAATAGCGCGCTCTCTTCTCTTGATATTATTACTCCTTGTCCTCTTATTTCCCCTTTGATCACTTGGAAGAAGGGGTGAGTCTCTGTGGGATTTATTTTATTTTCGTTTGTCTCTTTTTTTTTTTTTTTTTTTTGACCTGTGCTTTTGATTGTAGTTGTTTCCCCCTGTGGTCATGACGGCTTCGCACAGTGACTCTTTGGTGGTGTTGTTTGGGGCAACAGCTGGTGCATATGGGGCTAAACTGGGTTCGGATGAGAGGGAACTAATTCTCTTGGTGTGGCAAGTTGTGGATCTACACAGCAAGAAGGTATGGCTTCAAAGTCTTGATACGAGGTTGTGTTATGTGCGTACGCTGCAAGCGAAGCAGCCCCCCAGCCCTGAGCTGGCCGGGTGCAGGCATTATGGTCAGTATCACTTATCCACCTCAGCTGGGGCTGTTTGTTCATTTCACAAATGCACCAAAAGGGAGGGGGGAGGTTAAGTCTACAAAGACCTTTTGCCTTTTCTTATTCTCCGCCCCCCCAAGATTTTTTTAAATTAGGCTATTTTTATTTTATTTTTCTTTAAACGTTGGTTCTTTTTATGTTAGATTTCTCCTCATTTTTGGAGACTTCCAATCCTCTTTCCGTCTCCCCGCATGCACGCTTGGGACACCAAACGTGCATGCTTTAATGGAAACTATCTCCACAAGGAAAACAGATCCTGAATGGCCTTGTTTTTGTTCGTTTTTCTTACGATCAAGCTATTTTTTAAAATATGTACCTTATTTTAAGCGATTCTAACAGTAATTTTTTATTTTTAATTACTGTAATGTAGATGAGTCTCAGGCTGCTAGATGTAAAGTTTTGTTTTTTAACCCCTACACACACACACACACACACACACACTTGTCAATTTGGTTGAGCAGAGTCTTCAAATTGTGTAAAGCTATATGATCTTCCCACCAAAAATCTAACAACTACTGAACCAACCAACGCTGAGTGGAAAACATGTTCTCCCTATGAATGCGTAAGAACCCATAGCAAGTACCCAGTGTTGGGAGTCTCCTCTCCTGGGGCAGGAGGGAAGTTACGGAGGGCTTTGATTTGTGAAATAGACAAATACGTTTTTTGGAAAGTGATACGGACCTTTCTGACATTTCTGCTAAGCAATTGAATGCATTGTAATAACGAACTCATTCCATTGCTCCTCACTTTTCTCCCCCACTTAACATGTTTTCAGGTAGGGACATTGCACAAATCCCTGGTGAAAGCAGACAGTTTGGAGCTAAGTGACCAGTGTCGAGAAGTGAGTGGCTTAACACCAGAGGGACTGAGCAAAGCTGAGCCTTTGGACCGAGTTCTCCAACAGGTGAGGACCAGCAAGGGCATTTAAGGGTTAACTCTGGGAACAGGATTGAACTGATGCAATAAAGCAAATACACTTGGTTTTGCCTTTCAATTTGAAATCCCTAGCAAACTGTTTCAAAACCAGCCATACCTCAGTCAAGGTATACCCCACAGACAGCTCTTGAGCTATGTGAAATTGGGTTCTTGGAGAAAAATGGGAAGAGCTCAAGTAAATTGTGGCAAAACTTTTGAGTCGGTGTCCTTGTTCTGACAGTTTTGGCCTATGCTTTTGATTTATTCGAATAGGTCCATGTACAACTTTTACCCTAAAGTTCTCTTCTTCAAGGCTTAACAGGGTGTAGCAGGATAATTAACAAGTCAGAAATTATTAGGGTACTTAACAAAAAATGTTCAGAGAAGTTTGATCAAAGAAATACTATTATACTAAAGATACAGATTCATCAGCTTATCAGTGCTAATATAAGACCTTGTCTTTCTTGCATTGTGAAGAAAAACAATTCACTCTTAAAGGTAAATAGTTGCACATACCAAATTATAATTTCTGTAAAATACCACACAGGCAGTGTGCATGACTTCTCTAGAAAGTTGAACTGAATGATCTTAAATTAATAGATAAGGAAGTGCTTAATTATAGTGAGGTAGAAGTTGAGTTTGGATGTCCAAATGCATAATACAAAATCCCTGCCTTCTGTCTGTAAACTTGTTTCTTCTATTGTTGCATTTTGCTCCTTGAAACATTCTGCATCACCTTAATTTCAGACAATATGATAACCTGAAAATTCTTATGATCCTTACAGTTTAAAGAGGAGGCTAGTTACTTTAATTTTTAGTGTGTGTGTCATATATACACCATGGCTTTTTTGTCTCTTTAAAATGTGATTGCTTAGTAAACTGAACTTGACTGGAAAAATACAATAGTGCATTTTTGTGGAGTACTGTATATGAAAACTGTCTTTCCACACCTTGCTTGAATCATTGTGGGTGTGTTTTGAAAGAGAAACTTGCTTAGGCAGTAGGACAGGTTCATGTTGTAACTTCTGGTGACACACGCATAACTTGGCAGAATAGGAACTAACCTGACTTGATGCTGAATGGTTAACAATTCACTGTACCTGGACTAAATAATTTCTTAAATATAAATACACAACCTTTGTGCATTCAACATCATTTATTTTTCAAAATTAAATGTGGATTACACTGTTTTGTTTTGTTTTTTCTATGTTACACAAGTTTCACAAGAGTCCAGCTGGGAGTGTAAAGTGATTTGGGTAGCTTCAAAATAACTCTGAGAAAATGTAAAGCTGCAGGTTTGAGCTTGTCCCAGATCTTGCACTAAAGGCATCTGGAACAGCTTAGCAAAGTACACCTTGTTTACCTTTATAGTACACACTTTAATTATACTTGATACTTTTATGAGAGATTGTATCTTACTCCCATAAACTGTGCTGTAGGTGGGTCTACTCCAGCATATAAAGAGAAATATTAGCTTTTGTGTATGGGTGTGGAAGAGACTCTCTTGCAAAATACTTTTTTTCATTTGGGTGGCATATCTTGGCAATTGAGGAAGAATGTTTTTGTGATTAAAGCATTGGAGTGCAACTGCTGGCTCTGTCACTGTCTTCCTGTATGACTTTAAGCACTTCACTTAATTTCAGTGCCTCAATTGCTCCACCTGTAAAAAGAGAATGACAGTACGATGACTTCAGATATGTGTTGTGAGGATATATTAATTCATGTTTTTGAGATAGTCATGTACTATGGTAGCAAAAGTAGAATCTATAGTCCACAACTATAGGAGCCAATCCCTGCGTGTTCTATTAGATTTTTACAAATTACTTGATGCCTTCAGGTAAGGTAGAACTCTTATTGCCTGGAATAATTGGGGATTGAGTAGTTCATTAAACTGAACATCTCAAAATTATAGTAAGTATGGTGCATAAATTGCAGTTGGGTGCACTGCATTGCTTTTTTTTTTGTCTTTCAAACCACTGGGAAGTGATTTTTTTTCAGTGTGTTCAAGGCATCGGAATGTGAAAGGATATCAACTTGCTCTTCATCAACATTTTTGTTTTTCCAACTCCTATCAAGAAAAATGGTTTGTGTAACTAGATGTTCATAAGATTGGTGTTTGTAAAATCGAGGTTCTATTGTATTGTTAATGAATGCAGATTTTAAAAAAATTTAAAAGCGCATTCTGCTAATCAAAATAATCTAAAAGTGCAATTAGGCAAAGTGGTTATTTTAAAAAAACAAGTTATACCTAGATTTGAGGGCACGTTGTAGAGAACCCGATAGTGCAATTGATTAGTCTACTAAACGTTATTCCCTTCTGGAGACACTACTGCAAACTCTGCAAAGGGAGGGTGAGATCACAAAGCTAGTTGCCTTCATCTGGTCCCTCTGAAGTCCCCCACCCCAACTTATAATGACAGGCATTTATTGCTGAAAAGTAGCCCAGTGCTGCTGTTTCTAATCAGGAACATTGGCAGCATTGGGAAAGGGAAGCTTGCACAGTAGCAGCTTGCACTATGAATGAGCCTCATTTGAGTGCCCTCAACTCCTACTGGCTTCAATGGGTATACTCCACTTCTTTGGACCAGATCCCAAATGCCCTGCTTACAGAAATACAATACAATATAATAGTACTGCACATTTATTCACCCACATTTTAAAAAGCACATTTGATTTTGAATTAGATGCATGGGTGACTATACAACTTGTATTAGCAATATATTTAAAATAGAAATCTTGCTTTTTGGATTGTGACTGAAATAATACTGTTTTTCCAGTTATACTTTTCCAGCATACAAAGCCTACAGAGAGACTGTAGATTCAGGAAAAAAAAATCTTACACTGCAATGTCTCTTTATAGTTTGAGATTTTATATAGTGCTTTTCATATACATAACTCCATTCTGAAAAGCTAAAGGTAAATTTAAGTGTCTTACACTTAATTTTCCCTTTGCACAAATCTCAGCCATGTAATCAAGAGTGTCCGTGCTTGTTAATTATACACTGTTCTTGCCTTGGATTCCCAATCTCTACCTATAATGGGGAGAGAGAATTTCCAAACACAAATACATTGTATATTGTAACTTTCAGCCTTGCTTCAGGCATGGAGAAAAACGGGTGAATTGCAGGTGGCTGAGCTTTTTCATTGAGCCTGAAAGGATTATTTTTGTTGTTGTTCTGGCAGAATTCAAACAACGGACAGCAGTTCTCCTGCCAGCATTTGCACATGGTCCATTAAAAGTATGTGTTGTGGGTCAAGTTATATATTACTAAAGGGCTAGGCTTTAATAATATAAGGAGATGTCTTTAAATCAAAATTGGGCTTTTTTTTAATATACACAACTGTTGTGGTGGTAGTGCAGGGAAAACTTTGTATTTGTATGGTCATGAATAAACTAGTTATATTATTCTACAAAGTTTTGTTTTATTATTTTAAAAACAGTATTTGAAGATCAAAGAGAATTTTCAAATAACGAATATTTTTAATGTGCATGATATGATCAATTTACACTGTGTGTCTCTAACTTATTTGTCCTTGCTTGTAGTAACAAACTCCAGTGCCTGTAGACCCAAGGGGTAGATTGCATTCTATGATGCACAGTAGCATTGTGTGTGCAAGTATCTTTTTGTTTTAGTGGAGGAAAATCTGTTCGGGATTCCTAAATCTGCACCCTTTTAGTCACTTTGCTTTGTGTATTCAGTGAATTCAAAATGGAAATGATTCCAAGACATAACTTTCAAGTGCGACATCCTTACAATCTTGGAAAGCCTGTGATCTGCTCCTTTCTGGTTTGGATTCATTGTCCTAGCTTCAGAGTTTCCTTTCATATTCAATGCAAGTTTAGTATCAAGTCTCAAACTCTTCTAAAATAATAAATATCTCAGTAAGTTGAGGGCATATAGAGATTAATTTCCAGGCCACATAAAATCAGACTGATTTTATTTTTGACTAAAAATGTCTTGCACTGTAGGAATTTCTATCTTCCATACTCGAATCATATTGGACAGTCTGACCTAAAGTAGGTTTCAGAGGAACAGCCGTGTTAGTCTGTATTCGCAAAAAGAAAAGGAGTACTTGTGGCACCTTAGAGACTAACCAATTTATTTGAGCATGAGCTTTCGTGAGCTACAGCTCACTGTTTTAGGCAGCCATATGGTATAGTGAAATTGAACATCTCAAAAGACCAAACAGATTGGAACTCTTCGCACAATACTTCTTATCACTAATTATATGCACTAGATCCAGTGTTGTAAGTGTTTAAAGCAGTCATTGCCTATAAATAAATGTCCCATCAAGTACATTTTGAAATATAATCAGGTTAAAAAATAGCTGTAGCTCTCTTACAAAGAGGAAAGCATCCTAAGTACCTGGTCTAGACAATAAAAGGAAAGTATGGCCAGCTGTGGACTTTGTTTTCTTCCAGTCATTCTCATGCCATATTTCCAACCTCCAAAAGTTCAAAATTCATGAATTGGATGACCCACCCCGTGCAAACAAATCATGAGTGGCTTACGAATCATCACACTTTCTTTAAATAATACATTTTGGAATAATTTTATTTCCTTTCTGGTTTCTGAGCCTTTGAGGTGCACTTACTTCATGTTTTCAAGTTTTTCTTTGCAACCAGGAGGACTAGATGTCTACTTTTGCTTTTAAATGAAAGCTGAGATTCTCATGCAGTGTCCTGATTCCAGCAGCTGGGGCTTTGAGGAAAAACAGCTATTGTGAGAACTGGCGACACTGCAAATATCTTAATTCCTCCACACCCCACCCAAGGCATGACCTAAATCAACTTGATTCACCTTGCTTAATCCTTATTGCTTGTCACGCTGAGAGAGGAAAAAGATGAAGAAAAATTAGTAATTATGGTGGAGAAATGCCTGTGATATGAAGACGTTGGATGGTTTTCATTCCCAGTTACTGATTTCCTTTGAGCAGTAGTCCTAAAGCCTGAGTTTTCAGCGGGAGTTGTGTGCGTGACTCTCTGTT